TTTATTAGCAAGTTTGATTTTTCACAGTCTGGATGTTTGAGCCTTTCTATTAGGAATTTCCTTTCTTACAAAAGGCAGCTCTCTTCCAATAAAACCATACCCTATAGCTTTATAGGTAAAAATACAAAGGAATATAAATATGTTCTGAATCCTAATGATGAATATGCGTACTAGCCTCAGCAGGCTTACCTACACATATACAGCACTAGGAAGAAGGTTTAGCATTAGTTTTTGCATATTAAAACTCTAAGGACTTTGCATGAATGTGTCAGGTTGTTTTCCTTCGCTTTGTTTTTATTACTAACAACAACATATCCCTCTCCTTTTTCTGCCTGTTGGAGTTTGGTTCAAAGCTTTATGCAGTTTCAGTAGAGTTTTGATACTAGGACAGGCCTTTGGGCATTATCAGCTAGTTTTGCAAACAAATTTAATTTGTATACCATCAGCATTACAAGATGGTATATAATGAATAAGAAATAGACTACCTAATTTTTTCATCATGCATCAATCCCGAGACATAACCTGGGATGAACACGTAATTTCAGCTAATATCTTAGTTGACTTTGCCCTGAACCAGATGATCTGTCTTTGCCACAGAAGCCTATTGTGGACAAAACTGTGGGACAAACACCAAGCTGTCACAAAAGTGTTTCAAAACTACTTTAAGATGTTGCCCTAGAGAGCAGCCTCAGATATTATTTATAAAGGGGCAGATCATCTTCACTCAGCACAAGTAGTTCCATCAAAAAAAAAAACCACCAAACCAAAAAAACCACACACCGATGAACTACTCACATGGGTACAGCAAAGTGGATGTGATGCCCATTTATTATTTTTACTGCTGTATAGCCTAGAAGTTTCTTGTCTCTGGCTTCTCACTTAGAGTCAAGTTTATCACCCCGGGCTTAATTCTAAAGAGATGCTGAACTTCCTGAAGGGTCCTGAGGAAACACAGCCTCCATCTGACTTGGCTGGATCAGGCCTTTTGAGTGACTCAACTAAGTGTATGACAAATCAGGTATACAATCCTGGTATCATAAAATATGAAACTGAAACTATTCCCTGGTGCTTTCCTGTAGACCACATGTTTTTAAACCTTAAAAAGATTTATTTCCCACTTTTCATGCATAATCTGCCATATTCATTATTTGAAATATCCCATAAAAAGATTAAATAGGAATTAAAGTCTGGGAGCATCATATCCATCACTGTGGTATAAACGGATGCTGAATTCTCGAAGTCATTTAGCCTTGTATGTAAAGGCAGTGGCCATTTTCACTGTGTTTCAGAAAGCATAAGGAAAACACAATACCCCAGAAGATTTTCAGATGTGTTTTTCACCCTCCAAAGAAAAGGGTGGATGATAAAGCTACATACACCTTTTAATCTTCCGCTTAGGGTTTTTACACATATATTCCCTGGCAAAAACCCCAGGGTCTTCTCTCTCCCCTCCCCTTCTCTCAGCCCCTTTCCTGCCATCTCCCTTGCTATAACTCAGCTAACCCAACAGAACCAGTCAGTTTTAAATTTCAGTTGGGACCCCGGTGACCTGTTAATGAATCTACAGAGAGGAGAAAAACTCACAGTGTTGAGTTATGCCTGGTGTTGCTAGCTGACTTGGAGTCAGAAATGCTTGAAGCGTTAACGTAATTGCAAGAATGTGAAAAATGAAGCGTTGGGCTCCTGAGCAAAGCGAAAGGTCAAAGCAAGCCCTACACAAAACAAGTCTCTGGAAGATGGCCTCATTAGACCATTAAATCAGCTTCTCCTTTTTTCTCCTGTGTAAGATGTTTAGAGTGTTTTATTTTTTATTATCGTATATATTAAACTCTTTCTCTTTCCAGGACAGGCAGAAAGTTGATCAGACTTACTACATAATTACTGATCTCTAAAATAGTATTATAGGGCATTGATCTGCATTTGTGGATCCGAACTGGGATAAAGTCAATAAGTGCTTGGTAGATTACAGGTCACTAGTACTTCGGTTTGCTAAGTGATCAATATGTTGTATAGATAGTTTTCTGTTGAACAAGTGAGGTGACATGTTAAGAACAACATAGACACTCACCACTAATAAAATTAGGATAATCTTTCAACATTTACTGCCTGAAGGCCCTTTCCTTAACTCTTTCAATGCCAGCATGTTTCTAATAATACCAAATGTCGACTAGATTAACCCTTTAGGTGCTAAAGGGCAGTCATCCACCAACATAGAGAGACTGTCCTCCATAAACAGCCAAAATGCCTGCACCTTTGGCTGTTTGGCTCTAATGTTTGGCTCTAATGTTAAGAATTATGGATGGATTCTTCTGTGTAATAAATAGATCTACCTCACATAGCGAAAGTCTGCAAAGATAGTGTCACCGCGTACCCAACTCCTTTCCATCTCCCCCCTCCCCCCCAAAAAAATAATTATAAACTGCGTATCATAGACTTAGGGTAAAAGCAGAGACCCCTGAAAAGAGTGCTCCCAAGACAGATTTGAATCAATCTCTGCTGCCACCAGGCATCAGTGAGGAGACCATAGGTTGCTAATGTAACCCAAGACTCTCTAATGAGCTCCCATTCCCAAGAAATCCTTTGGGGCAAGTGGGATCCTTGAAACAGCATTTGTGGAAGATCTTGACAAAAGTGTGGGGAAACCAAGTCAATCCAAATAAGTAACTGCATCAGTATAGCTCAAGAGGGCATCTACCCACCTCGGCATTGCCTGGGACTGACTCACTGCCAGTTCACGAGTTATGAAGTAAACCCCACCCCCCTCAAGGAAGCGTAAGGAAAATTCAATACAGGCCTCCCTCTCTTTAGTCTTTCCCAGGGTTGAGAGGGGGAGAGCAATCCAAAGCTGTCTCCAATGGGAATTTTGCTGGTGCTGTAGGATCATACATCTTTCAGCTGCCAGCAGCTGAGTGGAATGCTGATTTGCCACTGGACGACTGCTTCCCTTTAAAAGGCCCAACTGAGCACAAAAGGAAGCATACTAGTGATGTTTTACTCTGCTACACCGGGCAGCCCTGGTGACTGATTTGGCCCTTCAGCGGTTGCTCCCCTTCTGCAGAAATGAGTGTAATAGGTTTGTTTAAATCATATATATTACCAGAAATCTCCGTCTCCAGTGAGAAGCTGCTGTAGTTATCATCAACCACTTTTTCTTAGGCTTAGCCATATTTCTCAAGCACCCTGAGCTACATGACAAGGGATTGGAGATTGCATAGTGAAATGCAAGATCCTTGGATGTCAACACAAAGGATTTCTTTACATCAAGCACGGCTCAAAGAAACTCTTCTAATTTCTAAGGGGTTGCTGGGGCAGAGTGAAGATACAGGGATGCGGAAGTTTCTTAACTAGGGGTGGAATGAACATGCTGTGGCAGATGACTCAGAGGAATCATTTTTAAGTATGCAAATGATTATGTGCTATACCAAGCATCTTAGCTACAACATACAATGCATACATTTGATCAACAGTAAAGCCTATGGCCAGCTAATAGACATAACACCGATTTCCTGCTTAGCAGCCAAGCTCTCTCTTTCATTAACTGCTGAAGCTGTAACAGTTCACGCTGGGCCTCGCACAGCTCCAATCCAACCACACAGGAAAAAATCCCGCGTGACTCATGTTGGCCTTGGATCACACCCCGTGCCATGGCTGCTTTCTATCAGCAGCCAGATTACAAAAGTATAAACAATTCATCCAAAGAGGAGACAAACCCAAACCACTCCACCAGAAACAAACTTCGCGAGTTCCTAGAATTGCAACGTGTACGACACCAGATCGTGAGACAGACGAGGGGATCTAGCTCTGTGCCAAGCAGTGGGCCACGTGAGAGACGCGAAATCACATATCTGCTCCGCCGCCTAAGCGTGGCAAATATGGTGCAAGACACCCACAGCATGAGGCTAGTCATGGCAGCTCTAGCCCTGAGGGTTGTTCCCCTCTCCAGTTTCGGGATCCCGCATGGTTGGTTGGGTGGCCGACCTGTCAGGTGGCACTGTTGGGTACGGGTAACCCCCACGCAGGGGAAATGCAGTGGCAAAATGCTGCAGATGCACGAGATGGAGGGAGCACATCATAAGACTTTATAAAGGCAAGGTCTAACTCACTAGCTGAGGCCAACAATGCTTATGAAGAAAAACAAGAACGGAGCCCACCTTACACTTTGGTCTTAAAAATATAAATTCTGAGTCAAGATCCCGGAGCGACAGTAGACCATCCTTACCCAACTTTTAGCACTGGAGGCTTGAGTCTCATACCTTCTGGAGTCACTTATACTGCTAATGAGCAAGTGTAAAACACTATTATATCAGAATGACAGCCTTTGACACTCACTCAGCATGGATGCAGATGACCACACGCAAGGTGCAATGCAGTAGGAAATAAAACAAAACACTCCGAAATAATAACCAAACCTCCTGAACCCTGGAGAAGGCTTCACTGTATAGATCCAGCAGAGGTTTTGCAGTTCAGGTACATCTCTATTTACCATTTTGAATTCAGATTTTCAGAAACAAATCTGTACAAGCAGACATCGCAAGAAACATTTTTCCATCCAATTCAGGGTTTGCTTCTACTTTATATAATTTAACAGCTTCATAACTTCATATACGAGTCCCTTTCCCAGCTAAAACTGCAGGTTAAATTCTCCATCTATAACCCAGCTCAAACAACTGCATCACAGCTGGAGAGTATGTCTGTCGTTATATTTACTTACACCACACAAAAATAAACTGTAGATAACCAAATTTGTAAAGGAATTGGCAGAACTAATCAATTGTTATTACAAAGCTTGTTTGAAGATTAGATATTTCACTTTGAAATAATAATAAAATGCAGCTAAGTGGGTTAGGAAAAGGAAATACCGTCTCCCTAAGTTACAGCTGATTATACTGCAAGTCTGCCACTCCATGTTTACTCTAAGGCAGATGTACTGATATAATAAAAAAAGCTGGAGTTATTTTAGTCATGCCTACTTTGCGGAGGGAAAAAGTTTGACCTTTTACCTTGCTCGCTGCTGTTGTCTCCGCTCTGGGAAGCGTGGCCCCCACTGGAGGGCCCCGGTGTGCCTGCCGAGTGCGTTGAGGTTGCATCATCGTGGTCTCTCCAAGATGAAGGATTCTGGTGTCAGAGTGCCAAGGAATTTTTTCCACAGTTCCCATTCCAATAGCAAATGAAGAACAGAAAGAAAACCAGGAGAAGAGGGGAGGAGGAGGGAAAAGTATACACATTAGCATTTGTGAAATGTGCCAAACACCAATACTGTTTGCACAGTGTAATAATTCTTCAGCAAAGACAAGCAAAGGAGGTACAAAGATTTACTTGGTAAAACAAAGGGCAGATTTTTTTTTCCTTTTTTTTTTTTTTAACTTTCTAAAGAGTTGTCTGGATTTAATTGTTTGAATAGTACTGCAGAAGAATATTTTAGGGGAGAAAAAAAAAGGGGGGAGCAATAAAGGGGGGCAGTGGGAAAGCATCAACCTGCAGTTTATGGCACTAGGTGTTCCCTTTAGGATCAGGACAGTTGGTGTGCAAACTATCTCCTCGCACTTTATTTTCTAGACTGACTAGAGACAGGAGGGGAGAGGAAGAGGAGAGAAACTGTTTCAAGAAGTAGAGAAGAATGTACATGGGAGAAGAGCGTGTCCTCACACCCTACCTTCTCTCTCACCCATTTGAATGCTAGAAAAACTTCAAGCAAATGCAAAGTTGTGAGGGAAAAAGCAAGCTTTCTCTGAAAGACGTTACATATCAAGAAAGATGCTCCCTCACCCCCCCCCCCACCACCTTGATGTGACACATTTCAAAAGACTTTCTAGATGTATCACTCTAACAGTTCGCTTACAAGTATTGTCAAGAATAACCACCAGGTGATTATATAAAATAACATGTATAGTGATTTTTATGTAATTCTTTCTACATTACTATGCATAAAACACAAAAAAGGGAAAGACAGACAGACGAAGTTTGCAAAACTTGGCTAAGTAATACCTCAACTACTGCACTTTAGTCACATAATGCACACAAGCTTTCTAATTTATTGAGTATTGGCTTTCCGGGAGCAAGGAGTTGCTATTTGAAAGGGTAAGTGAGGAAAACTTAATGTTACAGTTTAGTGCTACTTTGTTGAGTGTATTCTCCTCCTGTCCTCCTCCCCTTTCCTGATCGTTCCCAATACCCTGCTGTTGCTTAAAGGAAAACAGGAATTCTACTGTACAGGAAGAGCTTTATCAGCACCACATGAAGACAGGCAAGAGATGGAATTTCCTCTGGCAGAAAAGGAGAGCAAGAACACATGAAACAGATCAGACTAGGGGCTGGACCTGCATTGCTTGTCACCTGTATGTGACAACTTAAATCAAGTACGTTATAATAATTCAATAACAAAACAACACAAAAATCCTCATTAAAAAAATATATTGCTTCTTAGGTGTGATTGTGTTTTAAATCTGCATTGTGAAGTAACACCAGACTGTTAAAGCACGAGGAGATCCTGAAAGCAACAAGTGACAAGTGTGGATAAATTCTTTGAGCAGGACTGATTCTGACCTCGTCTACCCGGACGTGTAGTAGGAATAAGTTCAACAAAATCAACTGATTTACCCATTGTAAAATTCAGTGTAAGTGTGATTGGAATCAGGTCCCAAAATATATATTGAAACATCTCAAAGTAATCTCCTAGCACTGATTAGTACCACATGCTCTATAGCAACGCAAAATAGAACTGCCAAATAACGGCTTGCTACAATACCCAGCAACATAAATCTAACAGGCCTGACCCAGATCGCAGCAGAGACAAAGGGAAGAGCCTGTGACTTCAAAAGGTTCCCAGTAAAGCTCTAGGTGACTAAAGGGTAAGAAGAATCCAAATCCCCTTCACCTTACACAGACACACACGTGCACCCACGTAAGTGGTTACAGGGCAGGAAGGTACAAGTGAAATCAGAAGACAGGCCAGAATCTGAAATTCGCCTAACCTGTCAGCGCAACAGACAGCACAACAGCACTTACAGCACGAAACTACCACCACCTCCTCCAAAACCTAGAAGACTGATCTACTTTTCCTCATACAGAGCCACAATAGGAAAAAAAAAAAACAAAAAAAAAAACAAAAAAAAAAACAAAAAAAAAAACAAAAAAAAAAACAAAAAAAAAAACAAAAAAAAAAACAAAAAAAAAAACAAAAAAAAAAACAAAAAAAAAAACAAAAAAAAAAACCAAACCACCAAACAATAGCATTTCATATTCATTGAGGTTGTTGTATTAATCAAGTCTCAGAAATCACTATAAATATTGTAATCCCCCCACAATTTCATTTAAACCCCCTCCCCCCGAAAAAAGAAAATATTTACCATCAACTTACAAAGTTGGGTGAAAAGAAACACAAAAAGGAAGATGAAAAGTCTTGAAAATTGAAGCAGCCCAGATGTTATTAAAAAAAAAATACCAAAAAAAGTTGAAAATAAGGTTAGCAAAGATTTCAGTTCAAAATAAAATGCAAAAACTGAGCAAGTTTCTTTACAGCCTGGATTAAAACACAGTTGTGCCTATGAGCTTCTCTTTTTATCTCTGAGTTAGGAAGCCACTCAAATAGCTTCAAGCTGAAGGCAAACAGCAGACAGGAGCTCTTCAGCCCTCTGCAGCCTCTTAGCGTCAGCTGTTTGCCGGATGGTAATCAGATAAAGAGCTAGAAGAAATACATGAAAAAGGAAAGAAACAATAGCATAGCATGAGTTTAGCCCTCCAACAACATCAGGCTGGAACCTTCCTTTAGAAAATGTAATAATTGCAACATGTTCACCTAGGCTAAACTTTTCAGGGAACACAGTGAGTTATGTTAATTTTATGCACTGCAGGCTCTCTTAAGCTGGCTGCCGTTGGAGCTCCTTATCACACATATGAAAATTACAATAATTAACTGGTAACACCTCAGCTATGTTTTAAGGCGAAAGTCATCCAAAACCTATCATACAGTATTTCAAAAGCTAGACCGGCCTTTCTGTTTCAAAACTGTAACGATTTAGAAAGGATCACTGAATAAGACTTCCTGCAGCTGAAAACACTTGCTGTCTCTACCAGGCTGAGTTGTTCTTGACCTCAGTTTGTAGATCCCATCTTAGAAAGACAGACTGTATTGATTGGGAATTCAATGTATTTCTTGTGACACAGTTTTCTTGAGGAAGCAATTTGGCAGAATTTTTTTGAAGGACAGAAATAATAAGATGGGATATTTACAAGATGCGACAGTAGAATGTTGGAGGAATTTGAAAGGGAGGGAAATAGCTAAGCTTTAATATTATAAAAATGACAAATAACTCTAGGGGTGGAGTTTACAGCCTCATAAAAAGGCAGCATTCTTTTGCTTTGGACTGAGACTATTGTACGTGTCAGTGAACTTCTCTTTTTCTCCCCTAGACTGTTCCCAACTTTGCATCCCTCAAGAAAAACTTCTTGGACAAATGCCTAATCGTAAGTGGTTATTTTATGTATGTCTTCACAAAAAAAAAGATGGGACAAAATGACACATCTAAAGTGTACTTGACTGGAAAAACTTTAGCAGCATAGTTTAGATACCTAAAGAGATCCTGATCTAAAGCCCGCTGACATTAATTGCAATTTTTCTATTAATTTCAGTGAAATTTGTAGTAAGTCATCACACTGTAAAAAAACCCAGGAAACCAGATCCCTTTAGATAAATTACACAAACTGTTAGCATGGCTTCTCATATCTTCCTGCAGGTTTAGTAATACACTTTGCAGAAACACGTTGAAGAGTAGAGATGGTGCCTGCCAAAATGCAATTGCCTGCTTTGTGTACGTGTGCATACTACAAAATTTTCACACACATATGACCTAAACTAGTGCCAGATACCATAGAAGGTAAGCAGCACACATGTATCTATTCCCAGTAGTTTTAATAATTGGGAGTCAAATATGGTGCTCCTCTTGCTCTTACCTAATTGTGTTAAAGAGCAGTGTTACCAGGAGAAAAGCAGTGAATACTGAGCAGAACACAATAGAAGGAGATGGAAAATAGATACAAGAAGCTAGGTCTCCAGGGGCAGTATTTTCTATTTGCTGGGCTACAGACTCACAGCTGATAATGCAAGTTGTAATTAATATAAAAGCAGGAGACAATATGGGGAAAGCTTGTACTAGCAGGGCCACAGGAGATCACTCCGCTGCTATCCACTGTTTCTCATTTACACACACAGCCTTCCCTAGAAAACACAATTTTGCCAGTGTTTTTTCCCTTGAAAGTTAAAAAAAAATAAATTTGATTTGCCACCACTGTTGAATTTTGCTAAATCTAGAAGAGAGCAACAGAAAGAACAAGAGTCTCCTGGTATACAAAGCAAATCTGATGTGGCACTCTTTTGTCGATGCTGCAAATCTGGTGGAAACTGTAAGAGTTTTTAACTGATACAGGATTTCTTGAACAGAGATGTTCTAACAGAGAAATTTGGTATAGGATAATCTTCCGTTAAACTGCAATTCTTACTTTGTATGCCCAGAATTTCCACTGGGCAAAGCCTGGTTATTTTTTTGTGAGTGTATGTAGTCCCGTTAGGGCTGATTCCGATCTCACACTGCTTTTTATGGTGATATTAAAGACTCAATTAACCATAAGGAATTTCCTTCTTATTTATAACTGGGGAGTAAAATCAATCAGGGCAGCTGATACCCACGTGAGTAAGCTGAGCAGGATTTGGCTCATAGACTTTAACTGAAGTTTTGAGTATACAACTGTGACAGGATCAGGCCCTTATATTTTGTTAGATGAAATGGACAAAACCATCGATCTTGTAGAAACAAATAGAACACAACTTACTTTCATAAAAGAACTACAATGGCTATAGAGCTCCTTCTTTGTGAAGATGGTTGGACTCAAAGCTCTAGAGGTTGCTCTGGTAAATTAATTTTGCAAACACAAAACTGAACTACTGATACAGATGGCATTTCCCCCGCAAATACAAGCCAAATCCTGCTCACCTTGTTCTTTAGAGGCAACACCTGTAAACACAGTGGAACAACTGATGTGATTGTAACTGCAAAAATCTTTCTCTAGGTACCACCACGTATCAAAAGATTATATACTATGCCAGACGTAGAAACCTACAT